TTTTCTACCTGCCATTAAAGGACATTATTTTTGTAATGATGACAGACAGGAGACTGCCTTAGTTGAGCTGTGCATGTGATAAAGTTTCGCTGTTCCTGTTGCACTGTGCAGAAGTGAGAGTATTGTTGCAGTTCAGAAAGGAACTAGTTCCAAAGCAGTCTGAAGTCGGGCAGTTGGAGCAGGTTATAATTGTACATCCCTTCCAACTGCATCTATTCTCTACTCTACTCTACTCTGCTCTGCTCTGCTCTGCTCTGCTCTATTCAACTGTGTATTTTTCCACAGTGAACCAGGGGCCCATGATATGGGACATAGTTCAGGCACTCTCCTAGAGCAGCCAGCTGTCTGCAGGAAGCCCCATCGGAAGGAGGTGAGAAGGAGGAATGGGAAATGGCCCTTTTCACAGGCCTTCCAATAGCAGCTCCTTATCCACTTTGGATCCTTGGTAAAGGTAAGAAGGGTTTCAAGGGTTTCACCTTGAAAGGTGGAAGTACCCAGGAGCAGGATTTACTAGAAGGAATACATGCTCTGATGTGGGGACACCAGTGACATGGAGCTTCTGGGACAAGGCACCAAGCTGCACAATACATTATGAAGTATATGTTATAATGGCTTTTAAGCCTTTTATCATTATGACCTTTTCGTACAAGTCAGTCACTAAACCTTTCCTATTCTTACGAAAAAGCAGAAGCTGGACCCCACATAAAGCAGTAGTCATAGCCATCTTCATTTCAATATATGCTTAAATAGAAAATAGATGATGGTGGAGATCTACTTTTCAGGTCTACTTTTACAATGCCAGTCTTCAATAAAGCCAGTGTTTCTGAAGAAGGTGCAGTGAGCACCAAGTTAAATGTTATTTCGGATAGGTGAGGAAAATATTCTGTACTTCACTCATCAAAGGTATCTCCCTTTGTTGAGAAAAAGAATGAAAAATAACTTGAAGCAAACAAGAGCAGCTTAATATCTCTGTAGACCACCACAGGACATCTTGGGTTTCCTGCTCCAAGGGTTTACACCATCATCACTCTATTACCTCTCCAGATCTTGTCTCTCCTAAGTTATTAATTGTATACTAAACTGTAATGGATTAAAATTCTGGCATATTTCTTAGAACAGAATCAGCTCCTAATGTTCATTGGAAGTAATCTGGGAACCTATAACTTGTTTTTACCCTACATGTGCTTGTGGCAAATGGGAATGTGAGTATGACCTTCCGTTACCCAAGAAAACCTTTCAGTGAAGGTTTTACATATCATTGGCAAAAACTGTTTTCAACCATGATTTTGACTTCTGAGTGGAGAAGGTCACGGACATCACACTTAGCTCTGGATGTGGGCACTGTTTGTCTGTGCAGACACCTACCTGCATTGTCAGAAGCCTCCATCTCTGCCCCTGCACAGGAGCATCATGAAAGTGTGTGTTCAACAGTGTGTATGTGCTGTGTCTTATTACCTTCCTCTGAACCACATCTCCTTAGTTTGCACATGTATTTTACAGCTTTGTCAAACATGCTGCCAAAGCCAAAACAACATCCACTCATCCGAGCTACTCATTGAAGAAGGAAGTTTGGTTTGGCAAGATCAGCTTGTGACAAATCCATGCTGGTATTTTATACTCTACTGATTACAAAATGACTGGAAAACAATTTGCTCCATTATCTTCCTGCATATCTAAATTAGGCTTATTGACCTTTGTTTCCCTGGGTCCTCATGGCTGAGATGTATGAAGGTTGATTTTTACCTATTACACTACTTTCCTCTTGTGAGTGACTGAGAAATCAGTTCTTGTGCTATGAGTTATGATAGAAGGGAATAGATTTCCTGACGTGTTACTCATAGCAAATGGACTTTTTTAGGAGTGAAAGGTGATGGTTCTACCCATTCATAACAGCACTGGCTTAGCTATTGTGTTGCTATCATTCTTACTTGGATCTGTGCTGACTATTTAAGAATACAGCAAGTGATGTCCTAGTGCTCACATCTGTATCCTGGCATTGCTTAATTTACTAGTGGAGATGTACCCAAATGAAAGCACAGTTTACCAGTAAGGGAAAAAATGGTGGCGATGAATGAGAAAAAAAACCACAACCCATACAATGAACACTTTGAATTGTGAAACCAGGCTTTTAGCTTTGTGTTCATCTTTCATCCTAGAAGAAACGAAGTGAATGAGTCAGAAATGTGTGTTGAAATTGCCACTGAAAGGAATGAGTCAGAAGTGTGTGCTGAAATTACTCTGTGCCAAAGACTCTGGGACTTGGTCTGTAAATTACAACAGCAGCTTCCGTACTAAAAGAGGACTGGAACATGAAATCATCATAAGGTAAGACTAAATAATGTTTAGTCCCACTGCTGACTGCACAGTAGAACACTTGTGTCCAAAGGTCACAGAAGTGAGTATTGCATTTTATTTATGCTAATGGTCATTCTCTCTGAAATAGAGTCCTCAAGTAAGCTGTTTGCCTGACTTTTGTTTTTGTCTGCGAAATCTTCAGTTTCTCCCATGAACTCTTTCTGCTTATGCTGCTAAAGAATCAGGCTCCCTTCACAACCTAATGCTGATAAAGTCACAAAGTTTGTGGAATTTAAGTGAACTGTGTTTCAGTTTTTTAAAATTTATTTCAGTATTTATTTTTTATTTCAGTAAAAGTAGATTAATGATGGATACAGCAAAAGCAGATACTAATAATATAATTTTGGAAGACACTCTTACTTGTTATTAAAAGCAAAGTTTCTAAAGGCAGGGACTTTTCCCCTTGGCTGTTTATCTTTGTAGGCTAAGCCCTTTTCTCAGACAGTTCTTTTCCATTAGAAGGTAGGTTTGGTTACCTGTATTTATGCTAAGTGCAATCTCATACTATAAGCAGAATCATTAATTGATATAAAATACACCTTTTTTTTAAATGTTTAAATACAACTGAGCATTTTACAGTAGAATGTATGTTAGCAAAAGATAGATTCTAAACCAGAATAGTTCTAGTGGAATCTGCACTACTCTCCTAATTCCCTTTGAGAACTTCATATGTCAGGTAAAACTGTTAATCTTCTGTTCCTGTTAAGAGTACAACAGTTCAAAATGTGGGTCAAGTTATGACCAGTTGCATGACTGAGGACTATCCATCTATACTAAATGTGTACGAAACATATGGGACCATAGAACTTTAAACAATGCTCATTAGGCAACATTTTTAAAATAGAAAAATGTGAGAAGCTAACCATGAACTATATCCGGTACCCAAATGCCAAATTTCAATTAAATTCTCCACTACATTCTAGACTGTTATACAAATAGAATATATACATCTGCCTGCACCTTTTCCTTGTGTAAGCCACTGGACTGAAGTTCTTCTGCAGACGTGGGAGAGGCAGGATGGAATCTGTTTTTGTGAAAGAAGTCACTAAGGAGATGGATGTCCAGGAAGGGAAAAGTTGAGCCTGTAACTTTGTTTCAGTTTTGCATTGGCAGGAAGCAGAGCACTGAACTTGAAAAAGCTATGGGTACATTCAGGAGAATGTGCCAAGGCAGTTGGAATAAATATCTTCAAACTTTCAAAGCTTGGCTGAAAATGAATTGAAACACAAAATTAATCATAAATAGGAAATTAGAATCTGCAATATTTGCTTTTGGAATAATTTTCATCAATAGTTGTTTGTATTTTTTTTTCCTTTTCGTTGCCATTTACTCCACAGCAGCATTTCAAAACCTTTGGCAAAATGCACACAACATTCTTAGCTTATTCAAGGAGATTTCTCACTGAACTTGCAAGATGTTTTCAAGCTTTCTTCCTTTATACTACAGTTCTTGATGAGAATTAGTTTAATCGCCTAACAGAATTGAGACTTGAAGTTAAGTCTTACATTACGAGACTCAACCTTGTGTTTTTATTTTCTGTTAAAATTCTTAAAACTCACATTTGCTACTTGCTCTTATCAATTGTGTTGCTACTGTTACTTGATCAGCCACCGTTGTTCAAAGGAGGAAGAGGAAAAGATGATAAAGAATTCTCTACCTTCCCTGACATTTCCTAGATTCAAGGATGAGACTTACCTCTCCTGGGTATGGAAAAGCATATAAACTGCAACTGGAAATCTGAAGCTGAGATTTCTGTGGCACTATTTGTATAAACCTATCTTTGACCTCACTGCTGTCAATGCATCTTCTACACTAGGAAGTATTCGTGAGAGTTTCCATTTGGAGACCTAGACATTGTAATCTTTAATGACAGTATCTAGGCCATATGAATATCGTGATCCATGAAGTGGAGGGTATCTGCATTCCAATGTACAACAGCTACTGTCACCCTTATCATAGACTCCTTCTTCTTCGGCTGCACTCCACAAGACGTCCCACCTAGGTAAAACATCTGGCATGCTGAAGTACGGTTCTGTAATAGTGCTTTTGTTATACTATTTGAACCAAAAATACAAAAACTTTCAATTTGCATAAATTAATTGGGATTTTAAAGTGTCAACTTCTCCCAAATCTCAATTAAAATGATTAAAACTTACTGCATAATCCGTTGTCACAGTTATTAGGGCAATCACCACAAGATTGTCCTGCTTTGTAGGGTGTTGGAATTGAACTTCGTAGATTCCCTCTGAAACATCAACATTAGGGACATAATCTTTAAGGTCACCATAGTATATCTGAGAATAAAACTTAATTATATGGATACATACCTATATTAATTTACACTCAGTCTTTGGTTATATGTGAAACAATTTTTATATTTGCGTTCGGTTTATCTTGAAAGGTTTTAGTAGTGAGGCAGGAGGAAATTTGCAGGGTTGGTTTCTTTGAGAAGACACCAGAATCTCACCTTATTTCAGACAGAGTCAGTGCCACCTGGCTCCAAGTCAGACCCACTGCTGCCCAAAGCTGAGCCAATCGGCAACAGTGGTAGCATCTATGTGATAGCATATTTAAGAAAGGGTAAAAAAGTTTTGGAACAGAAACTAGAAGAGAAGAGTGAGAGTATGTGAGAGAAACAGCCCTGCAGACACCAAGGCCAGTGACTAAGGAGGAGCAGGAGGTGCTCGAGGAGTGGGAGCAGAAGTTCCCCTACTGCCTGCAGGGAAGACCATAATGAAGCAGGTTTTCCTCCGGCAGCCCATGGAGGTCCATGGTGGAGCAGATATCCACCTGCAGCCTGTGAAGGACCCCACATGGAGCAGGTGGATGCATCTGAAGGAGGCTGTGACCCCATGGAGAGTAGCCCACACTAGAGCAGCTCTTCTGGTAGGCCCTGTGACACTGTGGGGGACCCATGCTGAAGCATCCACACTAGATCAGGTCTTCTGGTAGGCTCTGTGACACTGTGGGGGACCCATGCTGAAGCAGTTTGTTAAGGACTGCCTCCCATGGGTGAGACCCCACGCTGGAGCAGGAGAAGAGCATGAGGAGGAAAGAGCAGCAGAGACAACATGTTATGAACTGACCACAAGCTTCTTTCCCTGTCCTCCTGTGCTGTTCAGGTAGAGGTAGAGAAATCAGGAGTGAAATTGAGCTTGGGAAGAAGAAACAGGTGCGCAGAAGATGTTTTAGATTTGTTTTTATTTCTCATTATCCTCCTCTGCTTGATTGACAATAAGTTAAGTTAATTTCCTCAAGCCAATTCTGTTTTGCCTGTAGTGGTAACTGATGAGTGATCTCCCTGTCCTTGTCTTTACTCCCAAGACTTTTGTCATATTTTTTCTCCCTCTGTCCTGTTGAGAAAGAGGGGTGATAGAGCAGCTTGGTGGGCTACTGGTGGTCAGCCAAGGTCAACCCACTGCAACATATCACAATGTGAATGTGAAAATTAATTTTAGGCGGTTTATGAAATCACCATTCTGCCTTAAAATTCCCACCAAAGTTTCTGGTATTAATTATACCTTTCACTGTACTGTACATATTGATATGCCTTTCTGGACCAAGATTTAAAGCAGAATGTGGAAAATATTTTTTTGTGATTTACTATTATGCAAATTAGGATTTTTAGGCAAATGAAATCTGAAAATAGGTGTCACTTATATATGTTTTATGCCTTTGCTTATTTGACAATTCTTTTAATGAGCATGCTACTGTCTTTTTGTATTCCTAATACACACTTCAGACCTGTTCCTCAGCTATGGGTGATGTGTCCTGCTACAAATTTCACCATATCCAAACTAATTTTGATAATGTAATAAGGAGTTCAAGTATCAGAATCAATACGTACGCGGGACAGTACTGGCAGACGTAGAAGTATTTTAATTTACCGTTGGGACAAAAATTAACAGCACATCCAAGTTGATAAGAATTGTGCCAAACCACCTGCAGGTATAAGAATAAAAATCATGGGAGAATGAAAAATACAAATTTGAAAATCATTTAAGTAGAATATGCATTAAAGAAACATTTGCAACCAAGTTAAGTCACTTTATTTACCCTTTATAGTAAATTGCAAGTCCCAACTTGCTGGAAAATATTTTTTTCTCCTTGGTTTCACCCTTGAACCAAATAACATTTCAGATACAATTATAGTTTATCGCACATATATAAAAAGTATTTGACTTAAACTGTCTAAATAGAATATGTCCTCAATTAATACTGTTGAAGAAAATGTAGGTATCATGATGTAAAATTTTGTACGTGTGTTTTGTGCAGGTGAACAGAGGAGGTTATCATAAGCCATTTTCCAACTGGAAACTCCCTGAGTGAATGGATCTCTGTAGAATCACAGAATCACAGAATCACAGAATCTCAGGAGTTGGAAGGGACCTTGAAAGATCATCCAGTCCAACCCCCCTGCCAGAGCAGGATCACCTAAACTATGTCACACAGGAGCACGTCCAGGCGGGTTTTGAATGTCTCCAGAGAAGGAGACTCCACAACCTCTCTGGGCAGCCTGGGCCAGTGCTCTGTAACCCTCACAGTAAAAAAAGTTTTTCCTCATGTTCAGATTGAACCTCCTATGCTCCAGCTTGCTCCCATTGCCCCTTGTCCTGTCATTGGCTGTCACTGAGAAGAGCCTGGCTCCTTCCTCCTGACACTCGCCCTTTCCAAATTTATAAACATGAATGAGGTCACCTCTCAGTCTCCTCTTCTTCAAGCCAAAGAGACACAGCTCCCTCAGCTGCTCCTCATAAGAATGTAACAAAACTATTTATATCCCCTTCCTGATACTTTAATACCCATATTCTTCCAGTGTCTGAACAATTTTCAGATGCTAAACAAGCAAATAAGTTTATTCCCTTTGTTGCTTCCTGAAGTTTTGTAATACCAGTATCTTTACTTTTTCCTTTGTAAAGACACTTAGCGTACTCTTCATTTTAGTTTTCATCTTGTTTTGTCAGAATGACTCTCATGTCTCCATTGTGATTATTCTCTTTAAATATAATGAGAGAGTAAGTATTTATTATTCAGCCTGAAATTAAAAAAAAAGTTACATCTACCTGAGTGTAATGGCCAATCACAGCATTTTTTGTTTTTGCTCCAGTTCCATATTTGAAATCTTTCTCCTCATTGTACCAGACCTGAACAACATTTGACCATGAGAAAGGGCTGGATGACATGAAGAGGTTTTCGCCACATACTACAGCTGAAAAGAGAAATGTACTGAGAAATGCATACATGTGTGTGAAAAAGACAGCAAAAGGCAGTATGATTTCCAGGGAAGTCCTCATCCCAGATGGACAGCAGGGTTGGTTTGTCAGTGACACCACCCTTTGTCAATGCACAAGTTGTTATTTGACCAGTTTGCAGCATGACCAGTCTGTTTGGCTGGTAGTTTGGTCGTTGACAGACCTGCTGCGTGTCTGTAGGCACACCTGCACATGTGCACCACAGATTCATTACTTTAATTTTGCTGTTTGAAAGTTAGCAACCTAGTCATCATTCAGGTCACAGCTCAGTCATTTTGAGAAATATCCCAATAATTCACAGCTTACTTCTGGTACACAGGAAGGTGTCTACACTGTCTTCACCTGCGGTTCTTATTTAGATTCAACCCTACTGTGTATGCATTAGTTCTCATCTGGGGTTCACCTTAGCAAGAATCAGAGGTTTTTGGTTTTAGGCAAAAAGTATGGGGACTGAAGAACAGTCCACATATTACATACAGTAAAGACAGAAGTCAGTCAACACCACTCTGGGCACGGCACATGGCTACTGTTAACATAGTATAGCTGTAACTTCAATATCCAACCTATGAACCTCTTCAATATATAAGCCTCCAAGATTGTTACAGTTCGCAAGTTGCCAGAGGCAGTAATTGTCTTAGCAATTATTCTTAGCACCACCAGCAGGTTTTGGACCTTCCCCCTTTACCCCTTCCTTCCCAGAGAGTTTCATACAACACATGTAAGCTGGTTTTGCAGTAAACCGGGTCTAGTTTCTCCTTTTTTTATAGATATTTTGAGACAATATGCTTTCTCACTATGATTTTTTTCACTGACTGAAGAAAACAGGAAAAATCTATGTAAAACTGATGGAACTGGGATAAGAATGGGTTTGAACATTTCTCACTTACTGCATAGATTTACATCTAGACTTTTGCCTTTGTCTTATGCACCAACAAAATCACATTGAATATAAATGACATCTAAAAAAAACCCAACCAAAACGACCCAACCAAACCCTCAAACCCAAACCATTCACATCAGTAACATGTATGACTTCATTTGATTAGCTGTAATGCTTCACTTACAGGTTTTCCTCATATCAGGAAGACTGTGGGTAAAACTACATTTACTAGCCCATCTTTCGGCATTCTTTGCAGAGGGAGGATTCCATTCCTTAATGAAAAAAGAAAATATTAGTCATTCAAACACATACCAATTAATAACTCCTCGTGAAGGAACATTTGGAAATTACACTTCAAACCATTAAAAAATAATATACAAAATCCTTTTCTTCCCCTCTTTTGGAGGTACAAATGAATTTGCTATGCACTCAGAAGAATAGAAGCTAAGACTGATGAAGAATGCATCAGGAAGAAATTAACAATGCCATGGGTCCTCCTTTTCCTTTTCTTTTTCCTCCAAATGAAAGACATGTTATTGTTCACACAACGCAAAATTTTGCAGACTATTTTTTCCGCCTGCCCAGCTTTATGTTCATCTTTATGTTGGCCATGCTCAAGCCTTAAGAGAGGTCTGAAGAGTCAATCTGTGGCTAAATAAAATAATGTGGACTTACATACAGTCCTGTATCTCTCATAGGGTTCATTACTCATCAAAAATAGGTTTACAGCACACAACTTACCATCCTCATCATGTTGCTGGCAGTTGGTTTTACTCCTCTCCTGAGGGTATTATGTTTGTCAACAATCTCTTTTTGCTGATCTGCTTTGCTAGTCAACAGAGCATGGAAATCTTCAGATTCCTAAATTGAAAGAACGTGTTATATTTCTCTTTTATTTGAATGTAACTAAGTCCTGAATCCTGTCTAAAAATTATTAAAATACCAAAACACTAATAACCAAGGAGATGAGCCTTGCAATGGAGGATGTACCATGATACGCTTTGTCTCCTAGGTATCTCAAGGGGTGCTTCCATGTGGAGTAACACTTTCAGTGGTTCTGCAGCGTAGTGCTTACCCGTAATAGCACTGCTTCCTGTGTCGTATCTGCCAACCCTCTGTGGATGGCTGAGATAATCCTGGAACATCTCATGTGCCTGATGTACCTGTAGACTCTCAAATTAAGGCAACTGAATCAGACTTAATTTATTACTATTATCATTTCCTTCATGTGGTTTTGAGGAAACAGAATCTGGAGACATGAATGTTCTTATGATATGTTCCCCTTCTTCAGTATTGTAAACTTACTAATCAATGTATTTTTATTGAAGGAAACCATTGTTTAATCACAGGATTGTCAGAGATCTCCTGTGGAAGTTCACCAGGATATCTCACTGACCAAAAAGTGTGCCTATGTTTTTCATGTCATAGATTTTCTTCCACTCCTGCCATAACTGATAGCAGTTCTCAAACTTTTCTTGTGTTTTTCTAATTAAAAAATAGCCCTGTGCAGAACTCAGCCTCCCCTTTACAACCCTTCTCACTAGACTGCAGCATGGAGAGTAGAAATTGAAATTAGGGGGAAATGCATTCAAGCCTTCAGACACATTAGTGATTCTGAAGCAGAGGTGGCAAATTTCAGACTCCAGACTAAGTGTGGGTTGGGAGGAACCACTCTACATGTGCATTGAATATGTTAGCTTGTTTAGATGCTTGAGGGAAATCAGTGATACATATTGAGAGAATGGGATCGTGAGCAAAGGGAGAGGCACATAGCTCAGGACCTGTAAGACAAGGAAGGGACAGAGTTAGGTAACTGCTGCCTGTAAAACTTTATGGAATTAACAGGAAGATGTCTGGATCTTTGGGAGATCTGTGTATGGGAGCTTCTGGAAAATACAGTTACCTGTGACCCAACTCATAAGTAACACTGAGCCTATAGAAGTTCTAATGTGCAAGTGTAAAACCAGTCTACTGCTTTGAAACTAAACAGACTTCAAGGATGAATGCTTTCCAGATCCTAGATACCTAATCAGACTCTT